TTAGTAGAGTCTCCACAGAAAAATGGTTATCTTTAATAGCTGGTAAATGGTGACATAAGATTATTTGACAAGTTTGGGGTGCAAAGCACAAATGAGAAAATGAGCAGGAAGTTTCTTTTGCAACTATAAAACCTCCCAAAATTCAGCCAGAAATCCTTAATTATGCATCACTATTGCAAGATACCAGAAACTGATAGAAATGCACAGGCAAACTCCAGCTTCAAATAAAGGAATCAGAAGAACAATGACAGCATAATTAACTGCTATAAGACGAGCCTGGGGTCTTGGAGTTTCTCAGATTTCACAGTGTACAGGTGTTTGGCTGTTCCAGGAAATTTAAAAAAGAAAGGGGCACTTAAATTGTAGAAGAAATTAGCAACAGAAAAAGAGGGAGAGTGTATCTCAGATATAGATAGAGGAGAAGTAAATTCCTAGAGGGGACATAGATATGAAACATTCAAATATGTACAATTACTATTAAATATATTAAATTTAAGTGCTCCTAGAGGAGTGGTGGGTGAGATCAGAGAGGCTGGAAGAAGCTACATCAATAAGCAAAAACTGAACTGTACCCTGGAAGTGACAGAGAACTATTAAAGAATTTTAAGCAAAGAAGTGGCAGTACCAACTTGCTTTTTTAGAAATATCATCTCACCAAGGCATTAGGAGAATGAATTATAATGTACCTCAAGATCTGGAGGTTATTAGGAGGTAGTTGCAGAAGTTTAAGTGGAAGGCAGTATAGATAGCCCTACACTAAGAAAGTGGCCCTGACAGGACAGGGGACACAAATGAATAAGTATTGCTTACAGCAATATCTTCCAAATTCCAGACCCAACCCATTAATGAGTCATAAAATCATTAATGGATAATAGCTGGGTTTTATGAATAAAGTATTAGTGTACCATACAGATCCTTTGCAAGACCTTGATTTTTGAAAAAATCAAGTATATTTTGAAATAAAGGATTAAGTACTAATACAAATAACGGTAATATTTTAATTCTTCACCAAGAAGATGTTTGTATAAATATGATTTACATAAATGTGGATATGGATATATTGATATATGATATCAAGTGAAGCTCTTCTAAAGATCATGAATAAAGATATTTGAAACACTTATCAGATACTATATAATAAGCCTCAGTTATATTTGAACAAGATGGGACAGGCTACAAGAAATAGTGTCACTAAATTGACTATGGCTCCTTTCACATATGTTTTATTTTGAATGTAAAGTTTGAGGAGTTTATGAGCTTACCAGGAGATGCTGGCTGTCTAGGGAATATGCAGGTGAGAAGGTCCAGGATGAAGCAATCAAACCTGCAGGGACGTATATGGTTCTGTATTAGCTGCACATTAAGAATTGCTAAAGGTCTGGGAAAAACCAGTGTCAGGCAGAAAAAATGTGGGAAGCAAAGGGAAGATGTAAGTGAGCCCTGGAGCACACGGATGCAAGAAAACCAACAGAAAATGAGGCTCCACCAATCCACGGTTGAGTTTCAAGAAAACATAGTCCAAATGTTTAGATGCAGCACAGAAGTTAAGACAATTGAAGTCTGAAGACCCCATGTTGTCAGTTAGGGCTTCCCATTTGCTGGGGACTGAGAAATTTCTGGTTACTTCCTTAGCAACTTTTGATGCTAAAACTGGGACAGCCCCAGCAAACTGGCATGGTTGATTACCTCGAACTTGAACTTGAAATAGCAGATAAGCTAGAGACAAAAAAAAAAAGTAGATTCTTTTTCTGAGAGTTGACTCTAGAAAGAAAGACACAGAATGAGAGGAAAACATGAGAGACTGACACTGAAGATACAAGAAAGTCAAGAAAATAGATGAGCAATATCCTGACCTCACAGTGTAGGAAGAGCAGGACCTCCAGCCCTGGAGAGGAACTTGCGTGACAGTGGGAGAAAAAGCGGTATTATAGCAAATGGCCAGGACCTCACTGTGAGAGCAAACATGGGTGCAAACTTGCATGGAGATGGGCAAAGGCTTGGGACATTCGGAGATGCAGGAAGATGCTAAAACACATTCTAGGCAACAAGAATGTCCAAGTGAGGAAGGAATCGTGAATTTGTATCTCAGGAGTATAATTATTATTACCAGTCAGATTTAGATCCTAGGCCTATCCATTCATTCAGTTAAAGACATCATTTAGAGACATCAATTGTTGTTTCTTATTAGGCAGGATTTCACTATATAGTTCAGGCTGCCCTTGAACTCACTGTGTATCCCAGGCTGGCCTCAAACTCACAGTGATCCTCCTGCCTCAGCCTCCTGAGTGCTGAAATCACAGGCATGCATCACACCTGGCCGAGACAAATTATATTTCCGGTCTTGAAAAAGAGCTAGTATTGCACTTAAACATAATTATTTGTGAGTAATCATATGACCAAAGAGACCTAAGAATGTATTCCAACTGGTAGAAATAACCCAAGAGAGGAAGCAGGCACTTGTTCAGCCTTTGACAGAGCTGTTATCAATGAGCACTACTTACTGTGGATGGCATGGTCACACAGAGATACATTCAGACTGCAAGACAATGTGGAGAGGAGAATCAGAGGTAGCGGAGTTGGGGGACCTCGTGGAGGCCCAGCACACACTCTTCACAGCCTGGATTGGATAATAAGCTGTTTTTAAAACTTGAACTAATGCCAAGCCTTGGCTGATTGATATCAAATAACACCACCATCTCATTTATACACACCCATTGCCAAATGCCCACAATATCCCTTTGTGATAGGCTGTTATCCAATTTTCCAGTGGGAAAACTACCTGTTAGTATGGTAGGTATATAATCGGTCTATGGCTGGTAAATTAGCAAAGACAAGAAGTGCCTAAGTTCTCTGACTCAGTTCCTTCCCTCAGGCTTTTTATTTTGTAACATAACATTTATAATAATGAGATGTAACGATTTTTAACTGATGACACCTGAACATGGGCCTCTACAATAATCTAATAGGATAATGTATGTGAAAGAGCCAAGCACCCCCTCAGACACCATATAGATATTAGTGTAGCATAGTAGTTCTCTACTGGCATTAATTTTGCCTCCCTGGGGACAGGTGGTAATGAGAATAGTTTTGATTATCCCTAGGGGACTGCTATCAGCTTCCAGTGGGAAGACGCCAAAGGGGAGTGCTAAACATTCTACCATGAACAGAACAGACTCCACAGCAAAGAATCATAGTTCCTAAAATGTCAACAGTGCTGAGATTGAGAAGCTGTGCTGCCAGCATAATAAAGTGAACTGTGACACAGACACACAAAGCATAGCAGAGCCTCACAAATAACAAGTAGAACTTGAGATCTGTGACTTGGATCCAGTACTTGGTTTTGACAAGACATTCAACCTGAGACTCCATTTTCAAATGGGGTAACAGTACCTGCCTCTGGGGGCTGTTAAGAGGATTGGCAAGTTGGTACTTTCCTCGGTGTCTGGCATATAGAAAAATCGGTACTAGTCTGATTAATAAAATACTGGGGGTGAATACTGGGGGTGAAATATCTTGTTTCACCAAACTATATGAGAAGAGGAAAATTAAGAAAAAACATTATGGTGACAAGTCAACCTTAGTAATAGTCACCAGGCTATTGTGAAATTTTCTCATGAATTGTACTCATCAAATATTTAGATAAAATATTGCTTAACATTGTTAGTACAGTAAGATTAACCACATTTCATCACTTTGAAGATTTATAGACATCCAAACTTGCAAAAGTTCATTTTGTCATTACCAAGACTCATCATATTTCTTACATGCTTTCTTAAGATTTTATTACAAAAGTGAAAGACGGTGATCACAATTAAAGTTGTGTCTACCATTGCTTGATACTTATTTGTCTCTGTTTTGACTTTCTCACATCTAGATGGTTTTACAATGTATCTTGGCTGCCCAAGCAGTTCTCCTTTGCAACATAATCAACTGGAACAGAAGCAGCTCTTCTTTGCAATGCAATCCATCGGTATAAAAACATCTCCGTTTTTCTGGCCGTTAGTCTGTTCTTAAATTTTCACCTATAGGTTTGGGCTGTCACCTCTTTTCCCTCCAGCTGCTCACTTCCCACCCAGTCTTCATTCCTTGGCCCCTCAACAATCCTGACAGTGCCCCCAAGTCTTCTCTGCTACATCCAAGGCAGGTTATTTCTCTGACCACCCCCACACACACACTCACCCCACCACTGCCACCCCATGTCCCCCTCAGACAATAGATCATTTTTCTCTCCAGAGCTTTTCAGATTGCTCTGAAGTTTCCTCTGGAAACTTCACACTTGTCACTATCCTCTGTCATAGAGAAAGACCTTAGGGAAATAAGAAATGAGGAAGCACAGGGAGCAACCAAGGAAGAGGTGTGCGATGGAACAGGAGGAAACATGCTAGAGGTATGCAGCTTGTAAGAGAAAGGCAATCATGGGGCAAACAGATGAGCCAACCAAGCACAGAATTTACAGCCCTAATCTCTTTCATGTGCAGAAACCATTTATATACTTACCTGATACAGATAGCTGCAGAGCCAGCCAAGCACTGTGCAGCCTGGAACATTGTATATATTTCACGTCAGAGCTACACAACAAGCTGCAAAGTTGAAAACTACTGCAATCTCCTCTCAGACAAGGAAATTGAGATAAAAAAAGGCTACGACAGTGTCTCAACTTTCCTTCCCAAAACAGAAAGGGGAAGTAGAGAAATGGATGCCAAGTTTGTCAAATTTGTCTCTTACCTCAAGGATATGCAAGAAAAGTAAGCTATGACATGTGCAGAAGAGAGATGAAGCTGAAAATAGAAGAAAGGGAAGGGAGGAAGAGAAACAAAGAGAGGGGAAAAGAACGCACTTGAGCAACAGACAACAGAACCACACCCTAGGACCAACTCTTAAGGAGCAGTGAATGCAGTGGCCTGGTGTCTTCAACAACATTCTCCCCTAAAAACGCTGAGAGGCCACAGGAAAAACTATGCTCTAAGAAGATGCTCAGATCAATAACAATCCACCTCTGCTCCATTTTTTTCAACATAGGCTTTAATTCATAATGCACTCAAGGGGAGGCACCAGGGCAAGGTGTACAGGGGGTAAACTCAACGCACTGACCTTCGCTGAAAAGCTGGGACAGGGCAGGGAGCAAAAGAGGTCAAGTCCTGCCCTTTCTGCAACCCCAATCCCAGGATTCCCGAAACACACCTTGGTTTGGGTTGGTTTTTTTTTTTTTTTTTGGGGGGGGGGGTGTCCAGTAAGAAACCACCAACGGTTTAAATAAAGTCCACTTGAGACCATGATTGATCCCCAATATTTCGTGTTTCTCAAGTTTTTTTTTTAACTGACATTTTTATTGCCCCGTTTCATCTCCACGTGCATTTCCTATAGTTCTCCAAGGTCACAAGAGCAGGGAGCGCCCCACTGCAGTCTCTCGGGGAGGGCAGGGTACCTCTCAGTCAGTCAGGGTGCACGCCCTCCTCCCCCGGCGCCCCATCCCACACCCCATCCGGTCGCCAGAGGCTGGAGAACGGCGTGCGGCTGTAGCCCGCGCTGTAGTCATAGGACACCTGATGGTGCGGGGGCGGCAGGGCGCAGTCCGGAAAGAAGGGGGCGAAGGAGGCCACCGGGCCCGGCCCGTCCTCCCCACCCGCAGGGTCCACCGCGGCGGGGTACAGGGAGCGCAAGGGCTCGTTCAAGGTCAAGCCTCCGCCGGCCGCAGCCAGGGGCGGTTTCTTGGCCGGCGGGCAGCTCTGCGCGCTCCAGGGCTCGGGGTACAGTAGGTTCCCCACGATCGCCGGCGGCGGAGGCGGCTCAAAGAGGCCGGGCTCCAGCTCCAAAGGTCCCCGCAGGACCGCGGCTCCGGTGGGAAACACGTCGAGGGGCTCCGCGGCCAGCAGGATGCCCGCCTCGGAGTCGGCGCCGTAGTCCGGGCCCAGCAGCTCGAAGAACTCCACCGCCTCCGCCCCTTTCTCCAGGTCGCCCAGACTCACGCCGGGCCCCGACGGGCCGCCCCCGCCGCCGCCGCCGCCCGCCCGGGACGGCTCGGTGAAGAAGGACGGGGGCAGGTTGCGCGCCCGCAGCGGGACCTTCCTGGCGCCCGGCAGCGCGGGGCCGGCCGCGTCCCCTCCGGCGCCGCCCGCGCTTGCCCCGCCGAGGCCCGGAGCCTGCGCGGCCTCTGCGCCCCCCGCCGGCTCGGCGGCCCCGGGGACGTGGCGCAGCGAGTCGAAGAGCGCGGCCAGGCTCCGGCTCTGCAGGCTGGCGGCCGCGGTGGCCTGCGACGCCTCCCGCCGGGGCACCGCCTTGCCGGGCGCTGGGGCCGAGACGGCCGGGGCGCCGGGGACCGCTGGCGGCCGCTTGGGGGGCGCGTCGGCCGCGCCGGGCGAGGGGGGCGGGCCCGGGGGCGCGGCGCCCATGAGGCCGCTGCAGCGCTTGATCTGCTTCTGCAGGTACTTGCGGTGGTTCACCTTGCGCTTGGACTTGCCAGGCTTGTCCAGCGCCAGCTTGATGTTGCTGGACGCCGAGTCGATGAAGCTGAGGAGGTCGCGGGTGGCCTCGCGCTCGTCGCCGCCCTCGGCTCCGGGCAGCAGCGCGCCCGCCGGCGCCCCGTTCTCATCGTCCTCGAAGCAGCAGCCCTTGTCCAGGGCTCCGAAGGCGACCCCCAGCCCGTCCGGGGAGCCCCCGAAGCCGAAGGGCACGAAGGGGTGCGCGCTGAGGAGCGCCGCTTGCACAGCCATCGGCGCGGCTCCCGGGCGGTCCCCAGCGTGGCCCGTGCGCCCCCGGCCGGCTCCCGCCCCGGCGTGGCGCTGCCTCCTCGCGCCGGCCCGGCTGGCTGCTCGGCCTCCCGGGGGAGCTCATTAGATCTTGTAAGCGAGGGGCGGAGGGCGGGAGTGCACGGCGACCGCCCCGGTGGCGGAGGGGAGGGACTTAGCTGGCCGGGGTGGGGGGAGCGAGCCTCGGGCGCTTTTCTAATTTTCTGGGGTTTTTCAAACTTTAACCCTTTCCTTTCCCTTTGCCTCGGGGCGTTTCTTTCGACTAGTTTTAGCCGCCAGGGGTGAGGGGGAGGTTCTGGCCTCAAACTCCTGTTCGCCTCCTGCACAACCACATCCTAGCGCCTGAGACAGTTGTGAGGCGAAGACAGCGACCCAGACCCGAGTTCAGCCCTAACTCTGGTAACAAGAATCAGAATCACCACCAGCTTTTGCTGTGTCTGGCGTTGTCCCTACATTACCTCATTTCATCTTTTAACAGCAGCCCCGGGCATCACCTGTTCATAGGACCATTTAGAAAAGGAGGAAGCTGCCTCAGAGAAGTTCAGTGAGTCACAAGGCCTAATCCAGTCCAGTCTGATTACAAAGCCAGCCCCTGACAGAATTTAACGGCTCTCCCCCTCTTTGCTCTGGGGGCAAGGAAACTAGTGTTTCTTTGGCTCTAGCCCTGGTCCTAAGGTTCCAATCTGAGTTCCCTAAACTCTCAAGCCCAGTTCTCTTTCTTCTACTCCTTAGTTGTTAGAAGTAACAACTAGTTTACAGTAAACTGAAGCCACCACCTGGCCCATCTTTTATCAGTACAAAGGCATAAAGTGACCAGGTAGAAAGAATTCACTCTCATTCCACCAGCTTTCCTGAGAAAGCCAGCATGTATATAAATCTCTCAGCATATTAGGGCAGAAGACAAATTGGAACCGCTCCCTGGTGTACCATTTAAGTGGCCTTGCAAAATGTGTGTTGCATTTGGGAGATCACCTTGAAGTTCACTTTGACCCACTTTCACTTGGGAAAAATGAGCAGTATATTAGACGGTGTATTAGATTTTGATTCAGAAAGGATTTGGGTTCTGGCTTTAGCCTCACTGCTGTATATGCCTGTGATCTGGGTTGAAATCCACACTCTGCTGAGTACATGGCTTCAGGCAAGACAGCCAAACATGCTTTGTTTGCCTTCTCATGTTAAATGCAAGTAAGCTGACCCACTTGACTATTTAAAAGAAACTCGTGAGAAGATCCTTAACTGTTGGCTGGTTTGTTCATAGCCTGGATGAACACTTACCTGTCTGAAGCACAAAAAACTGGTTGTTTTCCTTTCCATCACACCTTGTGATGGTGTAGGTGACTCAACAAATGTCCATGATCTTGATTTCTTTTGGCCCCAATCATTCCTTACCAATGTGTTCTCTGTCGATAGGTTCACGAGGATTATGAGATCACATATGTGACAACATTGTGACTGACAAGATGTTCTCTAAGTTCTTGTAATATAGGTTAGATGAAAAGTACAAATGGAGGAGGTACAGATCATTCCTTTCCGAACTCTTTCCTTTAAAACCTATTTTTCAGCTGTGGCAAAAATGCTTTTGAGCATAAAACTTACCGAAGAAGAAAAACTTAATTTATAAGGTAAAATAGCTGCTCCTCAAGGCTGTTTGGCTGAACAGAGTTTTTAACTTTTTTATTCAGGTTGGCCCAGGTATCATGTCCCTTTCATTTGAGTTCAAAGATGTCGAAGTTCAGACTCAGACACCCAAAGTGTAGTCACTGATGCCCAGATCTTAGTGAGAAATGGCCATTCTATATTTGACATCTTAAGATTGAAAAATCTCTTAAACCCCTGAGAGTCACCTAAATCCTGACATAGTCATATTCCAAATACATAGAATATGAAAAAATTTCCATGTAAACGGTTTCTTCACTTGCAGAAGAGGTCTACACCATGGTTGACTTGAAATGAGGTCAAATTCCAATCCTGGGCCTACCTATTGTTAGGTAAGTGTCTTTAAACAAAATGATTCATCTTCCTAAGGTTCAGATTCCTTATCTGAAAAATGGGAATGGTAATAATTACTGTCCTCAGGATTTTTGTAAGAATTACATAATAGCAAATAATACTTTGAAATTTTACCTTCTTCCAGTATGCACAGTGAAGCTCATCTTGTCTCCTCAAGCTTTTTATGTGATAGTGTAGGTGACTCAACAAATGTCCATGATTTTGATTTCTTTTGGCCCCAATCATTCCTTACTAACACATCGCACTAAGAAATCAGCATCATTTCTTCTTTTCCCATAACAAAGTGCCTGTTTTCAAGCACAGGAGAGCAGCTGTATTTGTAGGACTTCTAAATCCATATAGGTTAGAGAGGGAGAGTGCTTTCTATAGCCAGAAACTGATAGTTGGAATTTAATCTTGTTTTTACTATTTGACTGACAACAGAAAACTTACCCTGTGAGTTTTGCTATTCCCACCTATGGAGAGGGAATAATATGAGCCTATTTTAGAGAAACTCAAGAAAATGATTGAAACAAAAAGTCCTTTGTGAACTGTAAACCTTGACAATAACGTATTGATGACTTAGCCTGATTCACAGTTGATCCTTGTACACAAATATCCATACAGTCACTTATTCATCAAAATTTGACAGAAACATACTACACCCACAACGTGGTTAGCACTGTGCTAGTACTGGGGATACAGAGAAAAGAAGCTCTGATTCCCACCCTTTCTGATGGAAAGGAAGACCTGCAAAAAGGTCATTGTAATATAATGTGAAGAAGAAATAAATCGTATATACCATTATTGGTTCAAAGATGTCACCAAAGGAGTGAAGGCCTTTACAGGTGGTTTTTAATTTAAGACTTAAATGGTATTTTGAGTATGTCAAGCAAATAAGAATATGACTTTCAAACAAAGACATGGCTAAATGAAAGCAATGGCATTTGTGGGAAAAAGGTAAGCAACAAAAAATAACTTATGCAGGGAGGAATTCTATACCTCAGATCAAATTCGTCCTTAGAGCTTCCACTGTCAAACTCAGTTGTACATGCATCCTCTACCTTGTGGTCTCAGTTGGCTTTTCCACAGCTCTTTTCCTTTGGGATAGAGTTCTATCTGCGGTGTAATTGGTTTCAGTAGAGTCAGTGGCCTGCTTCAGGAGGCCCATCAGCCCCTCCTCCTCCACCCTGAGTGAGCATGTTCACTTGAGTGGCTTTGACATCAATACATTTCACTTCCTGTAGAGCGGAGGGACCTGACTCCAGCTTGCACTGGAGACTTTGCAGAACTCCAAGCTAGAGCTCTTTCCTCCAGTGATGGCTAATGCTGAGCAAGTGGGATTAGTCTCCTTGGGAACCAAGCCTCCCAGGGGCTCAAGGGCTGAACTCTCCCCAAACCATTTGGGAGAATTGAGATTTCATATTGTTCTTTTACACTTGGATTTCAGAACATTATTTAGACAAAAGCCCACCTGAGAGCTGCCTCCTTTTTTGTGGGTAAATATAGCAGCAGGATCAAAAGCTGACTTACTTATTTTGTTTTCCTCTTTTTAACTTTAATCATATTCCCTGCAGGACAATCTTAGCGCTCAGAGCTGTCAGGAATGCACATTTATAATGAAAGAAATAATTATGCATCTTTTTTTCTCTCTCCCTAAAGCAATTTCCTGTCATTCACTAGTTTGGAAATCTCAAATAAAGCAAATTAATTTCTCATGCCAATTTATATTTATAGTATCACTATCATCACAATAGTGTTATCTTACTAATTGTCCACACCTCCCAAAATGTGTCTTTTACTTTTTCCCTCACCTTTTACCCCCTACAAACTACATTCTACCAGCAATATATCATAATTTCTAATTTAAAATACTAGATGTTACCCTGATTATCTGTAGCTGCATGACAAATCACTCCAAAATTTAGTGACTCAAAATAACCATTTTATGCTGTCCAATAATATTATGGGTCCGTATCTAAATGAACCTTCTGGTCCTTGTGACATTGGCAATATCTGGCCTGGCAGATCCAGAATGGTATCATCGACATGACTGCAGCTGTGCTTACACTGCTGGTCTCTTCAGCATGCTTATCTAAAAGCTCTCAAACTTCTTACATGTAGCCTCAGGAATCCTAGATACTGACACAAGAAACTTGTAGGGAACTGCCCGGCTCCTTAATGTCCAGCCCTGGAATGCCCAGAAGGTCACTGTCACCATACTTTATTAGTTAAGTAAGTGACTAGGCCCCACTCAGATTTAAGGAGAGAGACATTAGAACACAGCCTTTCATGAAAGAAATAGCAGAGAATTTATTTGATGTCTCTTATATCTTTTTAAATCTGTAGTCACCACCACCCCTCACTTTGTTTACTTTGCAATTAGTTTGTTGAAGAAACTAAGTCAAAATTTGGTGGACTTTTCCACATTCTATACTTGTGATTGGTTACACCCAGCTCCATGATGTTATTTAACCTGCTTCTGTGTCCCTGTGTTTCCTGTAAATGAGAAGGAAACACAGAGATTGGTCAGCTTTGTGTTCTTTTTTTAATGTGCTCTTTCTATACTATACAGCATGTTTAATTCTTTTAGAATAACAATATCATAACCTTACTAACAACATAATTACTACAGTTAGATTTCTTTTTATTATTTCCTCATTTTCCCCACATTTTTTCATTCTCCAAACGTTTCTCAACAGTCTTCCTGCATTTTATATCATGTTTACTCCTGCCACCAGGTTAATGAATAGATTCATTTGTTTTGCCTTGCTTTTTATTTTCTAAAATAAATTTCCGCATCTTCAGCTGGGCAAGGAGTTTATTTCTGCAATCACTTCACACATCCTGGCTATCTTCTTTTACTTTTCTCTCCATCAGGGCTCCCTTGAATCTGCTTTGGGAGAATTGAGAGTCTTTGGAGGCATTTTGCTGCTTTGCTTTTTTAAAGACCTTTCTGAGAGTTGACAATGAAAAGCTTCTTGTTGATATAAGAATATATTTAGCTATGTTCTATTTTAAAGTGATGGTTTTGTTTTTGGCTATTAGTCCAGAGATACAGTCTACTCCTTCAAGCTACTTGGTCAATTTAATTGGTTCCCATCACTGTGTCATAAGGAGAGTATTTTTACTGGTTTTAATGACACCAACCGAGCCAAGCATATACAATCATTAGTATTTTTACTAATTAACATTAGTATTTTTTTAATAATTTCACCCCTCCTTGCCATTACACCCTGAAGACTATATTGTACTGATACCTGTAGTTTATCTGTGATGTGAGCATGGTTAGAAGAAAAGAGAATGGGGAAAATGAAGGGCGCATATCAATGAGAAGAGAGAAACAGCAATAGGTTAAAAACAACATGGGGCTAGGGATTTAGCACAGCGGTATAAGCACCTACCTTGCAAGCAGGCAGTCATGAGTTCAATCCCTGGTACTGAAAAAGACAAAAAAAAAAAAAAAACAGGAGTAGGACTCTGTTGAAGTTATTTTACAGCTGTGGAGAAGGGCTAATGTTCAAAAGGTTTGAGAGAACATATGTTTAGGAAGGACGATTTGCAGGTGGAGTAAAATTGTATTTAGAGACGGAGGATGACTGAGATTGTTATTAACTGTTAATATGTTTGTAGGTAATTTTGTTTGAATTCTCTATATCCAATTTTATCTCTATATTCAAATTTATTTTATTTTATATCCAAGGATTACACTGCCCGTTTCAGTTACTTTTCTTCTTGCTGGGACAAAATACTTGACACCCAAAGTTAAAGGAGAAAAGGTTTATTTTGACTCATGGTTATAAAGGTTTCAATCCGTAGTTGGTAGCTCCAAGCCAGAGGGGCATGGCAAGAAGAAACAGTCTGTGATGCAACAGGCAAAAATATAGCCTTCTTCCAATCCCTTCATATTCCATCCAGGCTACAAATCTGTTGATTCATTCTACTATACCTTGGGTGGAGCGTCCTGTTGCCCACACCCAAAACAATTCCAAGTCAATTTAGTTATCATACTTCCTTAATCCCAGTATCACACAACCAGCCACCTCCAAAAAGACCCACCTACATGCACATGAGGTGTAAGAGGGACATCTAGCTCAAGCCATAATGCTCTCATGCCCTTACATGGTACAGTTTAGTTTATAACACTGATAATTCTTACTCTTTAATTTATACAGGCCCCTGTTATATTTTTTGCCATTAGATGGAGAGAAAGAAAGGGAAAGCAAGAAGGCAAAACAATGAGGAAGAGAGAAACACAAAGAATAGGGAGGGGAGAGGGTCAAAGTATAACAGGGAGGAAACATTAAAAGAGGGAGCAGGTCAAAGGGGAGACCCTTGTAACTTAAAATATAACCAACCAATATCAATAAAGAAGCAAGAACCCAAAGAACAAAGATAAATGAAAGCAAGCAGTAGAAGGAAAAGAATAGAAAAGTAAAGAGCCAGAATAACCCAAATACAACAAAGTAGCAAGGATACAATGACTACAGTTACCAAAATAATTATAGAAATAAAACCCTCATGCAGTTGTAGCATTAACCCAGAGCCTCCACAGGACTGCCTCTCCACTGGCATCACTTTCTGATTTCCAGTAGCTCTGAGGTTTTGCCCTTTGGGCTACACAATTATCTGTCTGAAGCCTTGAGGACTTTTGCTCCCTCCAAATATATCTCCTGCTTTTGAGCTCCAGGGATGACCTCCTGAAGACCTCCGTGGAAATCCCTCCTTTCCCTCAGTCCCATCATTTCCTAAAATGATGCCAGGCCTGGGTGGCGGTGGGGGATATTATGATCCATATGATCCAACGGTGATCGGGTTTCCCCCGTAAAGAACCTCTAAATACTGAATTTTAGTCTAGGTCAGTGGTGACGAACCTTTTACAGCTGCAGAAAGCTCTCACAAAGAGCCAGCTGCAGAACCAGAATTTTGCCACCACTGGTCTAGCTAAATTCTTCATACTTCACCCCTGCCTCTGTGTAACTGCTTTTATTAAGCACCAGGTCAGAAACATTCACCTATCTTTTGCCCCCTAGTCAACCATGTTCTCTCCTCTTGTTTTGATCAGTTAAGTATACATGTTTATTCTTTTTTTTTTTTTTTGTCTTTTTCGTTTTATCGGTACCAGGGATCAAACTCACGACTGCCTGCTTACAAGGCAGGCGCTTATGCCGCTGAGCTAAATCCTCAGCCCCTATTCTTTTTTTTACACTTAAATAGATTTTTACTAAAGGGCTCTACCAGAATTTTCCAATAAGATCATTTCCACTAGCATACTTGAGGTTTTCTAGAACTTTTGTATTACAAGTAATAGTACAGTAAATAGTTACTATGTAAAACCAATTCTTGTTGTGATTTTAACAAGTCCTGGCTCCATTCACGTATCACTGTGATTACAAAAAATAAGGAACATACTCATTTATATTTCATTCTTTCTTTCTTATAAAACTTATACATATATAAATAGTAGCTGTGCGCTACATTGCTGTAGCGATGATGTCAGTAAATCAGTGCTCCCTGAGGCCAAGCCCCCTTGCAGTGTGACACTGCTGTTTATTACATCGAGTTGGAGTCTATTTCTCCATATCCTACAAGTTCAAACCTTTGCAAGTTGGCAACATAAGAGACTTTGTAGCTTCCACTTCACAGTCTTGCAGTGCTGGAACCCTTACACAGGATGTGAAGGCCCATGGAAAGTGGAAATTCTCCTCCTCTGCCCACTGACAGCCACCACTATTGACCATATTTGGCCATATGTGTACCAGGAAGACTATTTGGAGCAGCAAGGGGGGTCCCAAAATCTGGTCATAGCATCAGATAACTGAAGCCACATAAATAGTTCCAGGCAAGACTGGATGAAATACCACAAAATCACCAATTCACAGAATCTTGTGAAGTAATAAATTTTGATTTTAATCCAGTAAGTTTTGAAATGGATTATGGTGCAAGTTTCTTAACAATAGTTTTTAAAATAGTGAATCTTCACTGTAGAATAGCCCTGCACACCAATAAATCCATCAAAAGAAACTGAACAGAAAGCCTTCTTCTAAGTGAACACATTGAAAATAACTACTGGGTAAGATTCTATCCTGCTCCCTACCCTTGTTACGCTCATAAACTTAATAACTAGTAGAATGTTGAATTAGAAATATTGATTACTATCTGGGTCTGTAATTTGGCTGGTGTCATAGAAAACCAAATAAAAGGACAAGGTAGTAGGATCAAGAGATCCTAACGTAAGAAAATCCTGCTGTTGGTTCAGTTGTTCATTGACACCAGCACAGAACCCAGAATCTTACTTTCTGTTCTTTATTTGGGATACTTTTCATCCTTGTGTGGGTACCTTATGACATAAAGACTTTTTGTCAGGAGGCTTTTAGATCATATGCAAAAAGGGATGCCCTCCCCTAAAAAACAGCTCTCTGAGCCAAACCTGATTTACATGCTTACTTTTATTGTACTCGATAACCGTGATCTGTTTAGACAAATAATAATTTACTCTGTGGAACTAAGTAGGCATCAGCACTTATACAAATGGAGCGACCTCTGCCCAGTGGTTAGGTAGATCCATTTCTACCCATTGTTTTCAGGGGGGAAAAAAAGGAAACATGGCTATTAAGCATGCTGTATAATAGATATGATGTCTTTTGGGGTCTAACTAAGCAGAACTTCTAACAGAATCACCAAACATTTGCTTCACTCTCAACAACCTGTAATTGAGGGTTAGAACTTCCAATTTAGTATAAATAGGATATCATAGTCCCTTTCCACACCACTGGGACAAAAAACCTAAGCCTCACAACTTGACCCTTATGGAGGGATGCAAATATTATATATCTTCACTGGGGTGTTAGTCTCATTTTTCATTGCTATAATAAAACATCAGGGGCAGAATATTTTTTTTAAAAAGCGGTTTATTTTCACTCACAACACCAGTTATCTGGTGGTAGCCTTCTTGCTGATAGAATCCTATCAAGAGGATTCTATCTTCTTGAGCAAGAGACAGGAGGTGCACACATGTTTGTATCTTCTGGTCTCGCTTCCTCCTCTTGTAAAGTCACCATAATTCAATCACAAAGCTCCACCTTAATGACTATCTAGTCATGCTCAGCTTTCAGAGGCCTCACCCCTATGTATGTACTATAGTCAGATTGTTTCTACCCTCTTAATATATCACAATAGGGATTACATTTCAACACATGAAGTCTGTCTCCAAACTAGCCGGTACCTAAGCCATAACTGAGTAAAGGGATTTGCCAAAAGTCAGAACTACATCTTTAAGATCTATTATGTCTTTGTTGGTAAAAGGTACACACATACACACACACACACACACACACACGAAATCTCATTCTGGCATCAGTATGAAGCTGAATTGACAGAGAAAAAGCTGAAGATGATCACCTGCCTTTTTTTCCCACTCTTTCTGTAATAATTCATTCATCATGTGACCAGTCTGCTGTAGACCCAAGCAGATGAGGGCCACATGGAGCAGAAGGATTTGATTTCCAAATAGTGATTATACCCTCTTCTTTTCCTGCAAATAAGGAAAATCACACGGGTTTCTCAAGGAATCATTTTTGCTCAGACTACATTCAAACATGTGATAGCCTTTACTTTTCATAGACACTAGACTAAAGTGGAATCAATATAGACCAGCACCACCAGAGTGGAGCATAAGGCTGCTCAGAGCTCACACAGGTTTCTAAATGTAACAGTATAGATGCCAGAAAAACTCAGCACCATGTAAGTCTGAGTCACTTAAGCAGTCCAATGGCCTAATATCCGGTGCACTAGGCAGAAATTCTTAAGAGACCTAGATACTATTCTATGAGGCTGAATTCATTTAATTAAACAGCTTAAACAGCTCAATCTGCCACTGGAACACTTCTCTGCAGAGGGCTAAAAACAATAGCCTGAAGGGCAGCTGAAGTTTGCTTTTTCTTGTGTGAAGCCAGCTGGAGTTGCCTAGCATACACGCATTAGGAGGTCCAGCACCACATAATTGCATTAAACCTGCCGTTCTTTCCGGAAACTACTTCCTGACTACATTAACGGAAGGAGCAAGTAAAGAAGAGTATTTTCTAGCCTTAGAATATTATACCTATCTTTACAATCCCCCTCCTCTGTCCCCTGAAAATCACTTTTATGCAAAAGGAATCTGATTTTATTTTTCAGCAGAGAGGATCAAACACAGGACCTTAGACACACTAGCAAAGTGCTCTGTCACTGAGCTACACCACCAGCCTGAGCATCTGAATTTTGGATACTCTTGTCAATGTCTAGTTCTTCTATACTAACTAGATCTTTCCACGTTATTATTAAATTGGTTTTCATTAGGCATAACATTTAAGACAATAGAAAATGCTTTAGGTTATAGTTCTATAAGGCTGAACAACTATAGTTCTATAAGGCTGGATCACTAATTCCCCTACATTTTATG